CCAGAACAGTAAGCCATTCAATACCCATACACTAGCTGAATACTACATGTCATCAATATGCCGCGAAAACCTGCGTTAGCTGATTACATGAGATGAAACAAGTAAGTAAATGTACAACACTGCTAACCGGCAGATCATGAAAGCTTAAGTCAATCACTGCGTTTATTGCGCTCTGTCCAAGTTTGCATTGGAAGTTCGTCAAATTTCTGATTCACCTATAATATACGGGTGCAAACTTGTTTTTATGACAACACTGAATGCATACAACACAGGCGACAAGGTGGAACCAATTACATTATGCTATGCAGCAGAGTATAGCAGAATGAGACTGATCATTCACTTACAGTGTAGTTTGTTTTGAAAAAATTCACCTCCAAAGTCTGACAGCGAAAATCTTACAAGCATTAAGCGAGCAATTGCTAATTTCGTCCCTTGTATTCACACATTTCTTATCATTTTTTGCCACTTTCTATATATAAAGCAACCTAATTCAATTTGGTTACTCTTGCCATAGAAGCAAACTGTGATGCCCCTTTCCCGAGTCATTGGTCAAGCCACCCATACAGTTGGGAATTGAATAAATCGCACCGGTGACAATAACCGACTGACACCTGAACCAAACACAGGCCACAAAGAAAACTCAAACGGATGGGCAAAGTGACCGTAGTTTTGATCAGTTACAGGGAAGCCGAATCGCAGTGTGCATCTATTTGTTTATTTAACCCGAAACTGTTATGTTTTTCGCGAATGTTAACAGTGTTTCCGTACTGCTAGCATGCCACCTTAGCATGCCTCACATGGATGGAGCAACAAAAAGGCCATAAACCTTTGATGTGGAATTTGTGCTCAAATCGCATTTGTAAAGCGCCCATCGTTTTTAGCTTTGTGAACCCCAATCCAAAGTATCTCCTAAGGATACTGCAACTTTTTCGCCACTATCCTGACAATCGTGCAGAAACTTTGATGGATGAATTCCTGGCTACCAATTATGACACGGTAGATGGGCGAGAAATTCAAAAGAAGAAACAACGTCCAGCTGATTGTTCATCGTTAAAAATCATTGATAATCTGTCCGCATGCTATAATTCCTTAGCTAAAAACGTCGATCCCTGTTAAACCACTTAAAAAGCAGAAATATCTAAAATGTAGCTGAGACAAAATTGTTTGTACGTGAGAAGCAGAACAGAACAGAACAAGTACTATAAATAGAGACTCATTCTGCCCCACGTTGCTTCCCTCTTTGTACATTGATCCACAACGTGCTTCCGAAAAAAATTGCTGGAAGTCTCACCTGTACACCAAGTGCCTGACTTCCTCGGAGGGGCTTCGTAGAGGTTCTGGAGTGCACTAAACGCATTAGCATTCGGTTGCTGAAGGTGTGCATCACAATGCTTGAATGCTGCACATAGCTATCGTGAAGCAAGTTTATTGATTATTAGGAAAGTTCCCTAGAGTAACAACAATGTCGCTTGTTACAAAACTCAAATTATACGTCCAGAACGAACTTACACGACGAAGAAAGTAAACAAGAGAAATAGTGATGCTTTTAGGGATTATAGAGAGATGGTATCATCCAGATGGTAAAAATAGCGTCTTCACAAAAATTTCAGGTACTCAAACGCCGTAATATTAGTCATCCTGTGGAATATTCAAAATGGGAACTAATGAGATACCGGCTACTGATAAGGCAGACGGTCTTCACTAGGGGACATGAGTAGTATAAATTTAACATGAAATGTTAGGGCACACATCTTATTCCTGTCAGGTTATCCAATCCCTCTCTCCCTTTAGTTCGCCGCTGTTGAACTGCATCCTAGCTCGTCCTGGTGGATCCCATTTTAACTCGGCATCTCCTACGCATAAAAAACACCGTGTAGGACACTGAATTCTTCCGCAGTAGATTATTTATCCTCTTAGGAAAGTGGTAAATATGAAGCGAAATATCTTGTTAACAAAAAATCGAACAACTATAAATGCTTTCAGTGACATTTGGTGGTGTGCGATAAAAGTATTTACTTACATACTGATGTTAGAGCAGGTAGGTCTTCGAAGTCTGTCCTCAACACAGAAAGAGTTTTTTTTGTGGGTTGACTAGTCACATGTAGGAACAATCGTTATTAACTGTGTCGCAGATGTATTGTACCATTAAGACAATGACAAAATGGTAAATATTGTGGGGTGGAGATATAGTGGTACCAACATTCAACTGATAGTCAAGGCACACTTTCTAAAACGTGTCCACTGATTAACAGTTCATTCAATCGACGTATGTCCTCCATTGATACATACAATATAACATCGACGTACGCTCAACAAAAACATTACATTTGATAGGATGCACTGAACTCGTGTAGAACCACTGGCTTACCTTTCATCGATGTCCAATGAAGTAAGCGCGACTGCTGATGTTTCCGACGGTAGCAACCTCAGAAAGCAATTTACAAGCCATTCCTCCCTGAATGCCAGTGGGTTAATTACTTACGTTTTGTGATTTGAGACTGGTTGCAGTGTCTTCTCTAGAGTTCGATCTTTCACCAAAAGACCGTCAGGTCAGACTTCAGTTAGCCAAAATTAGAAACTGACATGTTGGCTTGTTTCTCACTGGGTAAAAACAACACCAAGCCATGGTAAGGGCTAAGTCAGAGTTATCGTATTGCCCAGCCTGACCAAAAATTATATTGGTTTTGTTCAGTCTTTCGATTATGCAGTGCCAGTTAGCATGAGGCTTTATTTTCAGAAGCATGAAAGTTAATAATGAATCATTTTGGAGTTCCGAAACGACTTCAAACCGTGGAGACTCCACGCAAAGCAGTTAGATCATCTGTACCAAGGTGTCAACGTCAAGTGACGCAGTGCAAAATGTAAAGCACGCGTTGAGGCACCAACATTGTTACACACAGTTCAGCACCTACCTGACTGTCACAAAACTGGTACGACTCTAGTTGTACCATGAACTCGACTGCCTACGCAATTAATGCGAACTAGTTTGCGTCCATTTATGCCGCAAACTGAATCTAAAGTCATTATCACCTCTACTCGGTGGTTTATAGTGAAACTTCTCCACTTTGTGAAAACAGACAAATTTATTCCTGTTGAATGATGAGTGCGAGATCATTCTTTCGCCGTCTCTTCCAAATTTGGCTTTGTTGACGAGGTCCAGAAAGTGATCTGTTACCCCTGCCGGAAATTTCCAGTAGGCTATAATTTATTATTTAAGCCTTTCTAACGCTAAGGTGCCTGAAGGAAATAACGGGGGTGCCTGATACTTGTTGGTGCTCTACAATGTTGCTTTCAGTGTATGCTTGGTTCTGGAGGCGTTGGACAGCCCGAAGTTTTGATTGTTTCTAATGTTAGCACGGAACACCAAGGCAAATTTTATCGTCTCAGCGCCATCCTCCATATAGACCATGATCACGGAGGTCTCAGTTGACAACAGAAATTGTGGAGTCTCTTTACAAGTAAACATTCATCGCATAGAGGTACAAGCGATTCTAGTTAGTCCACACTCCTGAGTTCCAAGAGGCGATCGTAATAGCACCTGGATGGGTGGGATACCAAGACAAACTGGACCTCTCTTATTAAGTGGATTTCTACAGTTACAGACCATAAAAACAAATCTTATGGACAGTTTGTGGAGCTGTGATTTGGTAAATCAGTTCAGCTGTGAACCCATTTAGATGGTTTGAATGCCGGTGAACAATCAGATTATCTTACGGTTATCGATTTTTACGGAGGGTTTGAGAACTGAGTTGGAATGAGCTGGATATCAACATGTTCCATCTCTCCATGCGTCACGTTAAATAAATTCCAATAAAGACGCAACAGTTTGTGTCCCTGAACATCCATGCCGTTCAGGCATGTTCCAACTCCATACTGCGGCAGTCATCAGGTTCATCATGAGATTGAGTATTCGTGTCTCAGGTTCATCTAAATTTTACTTAGTGTAAAAGTGGTTGCCTAAATTTTCAAAGCCCAAGTATTCTGCCTATTCGACTTTCCAGCCTGAAGGATATGCAGCTCTTGAGAAAACCCGTTTTCCTTCTGATTTATCACCGCACAATCAAGATGACTGGAACTCAGATAATTCCGTGTGTTCTATCCTGGACTTCCAGCTTCTGAATTCCAAAGATCATGCTGTTTACAGAAGCAAACCTTCTGTTTGAGCGTCCTATGTGATAAGAGACGATGAGTTGCCCAAGCGTACATTAGTATCCTAGTCAGATTAGAACTTAACAATGATGCAATCCTGCTGAGTGGTTTGGTGTTCCTTGCGTTCTAACCTGCGTTTTTGGTTCAGCCATGTGCCTTCTACTTTGAACTTGGGAGCTGATCTTTTTCCTTTCAATAAGCATTATTAAAGGAACCGGAGCGTGGACGGGATTAAAAGAAAGGATCGATAAACAAACTGGAGGTTGCCTGCAGTTCTGGACACGCAAAATTAGGCGAAAATCAGTGTGTGGAATACTGTAATTTTTAAGTAAAGGGCGGATTGCATCCATCTCTAAAATATCTGATTTCAAATGTCTAGTGGTCATTTATTCGGCTTGCAGGGATTGAACAGACACTAAGAATAAGTAATTTGAATTCAACCACAAGCTCTAGTAATTAGAGAGCCATTTATTGGGAATTATACAGCTGAACTAAAAAGTTGTGTGTTTGTGACTCACTCTGTCTACTTAATGTAGACAGGAGCTGGGTTCAAATAGGTGGCCCGGTAAAAAAATGGGCGTCGTTTGAGTCCACATAGGCTTTCAGACCCGTGCAAAGAATCAAGTTTCTCCGATTCCGGATATGGACGTAAAAGCACCGCCAACTCTATCGATCTGTCAGGCAGTTGAGCCGAACAGAGCACATCAAGTACCATAGATGTACCGATTAATTCTTGACTAAGTGCGCAGCTGCACACATGTGCACACGGTTGTCAAGGCCTGTGTGTTGATTCGTCGGCAGTTTTTTCGATAAATCAGTCCTTAGCTTTTAACGGTAAACCGGAGAAATAACTTCACGCGGTTCTACTGAGCTTTACGCTCCAGTTTTATTGGAATGGCAGAAGAAACTTTTCTAAATGCCTTCATACAGATAGACACTAATAATGACGGCATTATCACTCTCGCGGACTTGGAGGAATACGCAAAACACGGAACAGTATCGGCCGACTTTGTACCGGTGAGTATTCCAAGCTGTAATGTCGGTTCAACCGAATTTTGGTAAGGGAAAGATGAACTGAATGACACTCCTTCAAAACTTTCGGGCAACACTCGGACATAGGATGTAATAAAACCGAATAGATGCGTCAAGATCTCAGACTGAATAAACTTTAGTGGTCAGAGGTAAAGTAGTTGCAAAAACACATATGGAACCTTGGGAGAAGTAACTTTGGGCGAATTTTGGACAACCAAATCATATGATGTTTTTTGTTTTCACTGGGATGTATATGTCGGGTGGAGAGAGGGTTAGTCTGTTGTGCGAACCTTTGGTTTCGGCTTGAATCTGCCTGTTACAGTTCCGTCAGCTATCTTGATCTGGTCTCGCGGTCGACCCTCTGAAAGCTTCGAGCAGAAAGTCGTGTGACCAGTGCCTACTTCACCCCACCCAGTGGGTGTCAATGAGGACTCAAGGATCCGTGTAACTGCAGTTTTGGAAATCTGGATGTAACCTTCTTATGATTCATGGAATGTTAATAATGACAACGCACTATGCCTATTTTTAACGTTTCGGGCAAGTTCTGAGGATCAATGTCAGCTACATCTTGCTAATACCCAACTCGTCCGAAACAATTCCCTCTATCTGGATGTTTGATATCCTTCCTTAGATAATTCTGAGCATCGTTGCGCGGGAGTTCAACAGCTTAAAGTACTCGTTTGGTAGCAGAGTAGTCACTCAAAATGAGTGATAGTAATTTTCGCCATATCTGCTCATCGGGCTCGAACCAATGGACACGACGGAATGCATTTGGTCAAGTTGCGAAGAACGATGATCAATAAATCATCTGTCGGGTAAAAGTCGTTGGTCAGAAATTCGGAAATCAAATTAAAGCAACCACTTACGGGGAACAGTTGAGTCACTTGACTGCCCGAATGAGAGCTAGGGCTTGCCCGAGTCGACCCTGAGTACTGTTTAAACTAAAATCTTTGTGTTTGCAGTAACCTCTGCGGTTAAGTACATTATTGTTATTGCTTTTGATAATATTACTGGTAGCTGTTGCAAAAGTTGCCACACTGTCTACTTGACGTTACTTGGAATGACTTGATAGAGATCAACAGCGACTTCGTTGTCCGAATCATGTGGCTCCATGGGAGCAGTCAAGCTTAACTATACAAACAGATATCGACCGGCGAAAGTCATGTGTTTCAGTGCTCATCTGAGGTTGCTGTCTCATGAAGGTAACAAGGGATACGGCCTCATAAAAGCGCTTCCAAGGATATTTTAACTCCACTCATGTAACTGAGTCATATTTGAAAGATAAGCATAAATAAACATGTTTTCTGAACAGAAGAGAAAGCTGTTAGCACGGAAAGTCTACTTGATGAATGAGATGCTCTCTATGCTCGGCAATTCTGATGCACCACTTTTTCCCAAGTCGAATTGCCACACCACAAACCAAATACTCAAAGACAGTTTTGAGAATGGGATGTTCAGTTTACAAGAGACACTGTAGAAAAATGTTTGGTAGCTCAGTTGGTGGTGTTGTTAACGTTTGAACTGTTCTTTGAACCTGGCAACATCGTTGCTACAGCACCTTTGTTGTGTAACAGCAGTAGTGAACTTAAAGAACAACTCGGTCATCAGAATTCCTAGACGTGTCAAACTTGATATCTCTCAAGACCTCGGACATCACTTGTCTGGATACGCTTTTTGGTAGTGTGAATAGATTCAGAAATCTTAGTGGAGATCTCATCACATTAGTGAAGTCAGTCTATCCTGAAAAACCGAGAAATACTGATAGATTTGTTTCATCCCAATCGGGAATCGCCAGTGGCAGGGCCTCCATCCATGAAATCTGGGAATTTACCTGGACTCATGTTGGTAGTGAACCCAGCTGTTATGGAAGATGTTTTTTCGACCAGTGGGCACTCTGAATATTTCAAGCCAACCTGAGATTCAAGTTGATTGCTTATTTCAAAGCAATCTTGGCAATTTTTGTCCTCCAGTATGTTTTCCAGCAAACATATATCAGTGCAACCTCTCATTCGTCCCTAGAATTCGATAAGACCTATCTACGGCACAAACTCGATTGCAGAAAAGCAGTCGAAGTATGCGCAAGATTGTGCTACTACTAAGCTGATCAAAATCGGACACAGCAGTTTCGATCACCCTCACCATCATCAGTAGAGTACATCTAGGGAAATTTCATGTACATCTCGCGAAACACAATAAATCATTCCAGTTTAACTTTCTGTCAATTGGTGCGAACTCAATTCGCATCCGTTCCACTTCGTCACATCTCCGAACGCCCCGGAGAGCTAAGCTTCTGGCACAAAACACAATGAGGTAAATATTTCTTCGATTAAAGAAAAAACAGAATAGGATGCCGCAAGGCGTACGCCAAAACACGTTTCGGTACAATGGGCCATAGAGACATAATGGTCTCTTAGAACTGAATATACAAAAGCTACTCATAAAAAAATCTAGAATTTGGTCAATTGTCAGTTCAGCTCCGCTGCTGACCACTCGGCGTACTACCCATCTTAGTTTGCGCCGAATAAACTTTTTGAAGAAATCCTCAAGTATCCTGAGATATTTATTCCTCATTACCCCGCCCTGTGTTTAACTTTCACAAGTCTCATATGGTTCCTCTCTAAACTGAAATAAAATACTTCTGTTCTGACAGTATTTTCCTTGAATGATCAGCCAAACGCCACGAATTCACAGTCTAAAACCTGAGTTGCTAGAAGAGCTTTGGTCGAGGTTGGTCCTCTCTTTCCACCCCTTGTGAAAAGTTTAAAGTCAGAACATTGTCTATTGAAAATAGATGTTATAATCCGAAGTTTCGGTTGCCTTGATCAGCCTCTTCAAAGATTGTTTATAAAAGTCCCTGGAAAAGGTTGGTCACAGCAACCGAAGGGTTACATGGTAGTATATTTTATCACCACTCTTTTTTTTTGCTTTAAACTCTGCATCTTATGCAGCGCGTGGTGCTCAATTTGTCTAGTGAGATCCGAGCTAATTTTTCGAACGATCCCCCAATCCTTTCACTCTTCCCAAGTATAAAAGTTCATTTAGCTCCTGAATGGTGAACTTGATTAAAAGGTTTGGGTTTTAAAAGAGACAACTTATTGTCCATTTTGTATTATCACTGTTGTTACAGCTGTTTCCTGCGTCCGGCTGGTTAATGTCTCGATTCCATTGTCTCCATTTTTCGGCGACCTCTACATTCTGCCGAAGCTTCATCCCTTGGGTGCTTTGGTCTGAACAGATTTTGACAAGCATAGAAGGAATTTTTTCAAACTAGTAAGACTGATTGTTGCGATTTGTTCCAACTGCGCGTGTGCGCTCGAGCGAGTAGTTTTTCGTGTGTGTAAGACAGGAATAGTAGAGTTCGCGACACAGTACGTACGGAAACAATGTGCATATCAGTGAAGTGCGTTTTGTCAAAATGCCCTCTGATGTACTCAAGATGAACTGTCACTGAAAAACCTGAGATTAAATTGCATGAAAGCAACCACCAGATTTCAGCTTTGGAAATAACCTATCCAATGCACGGGCCACCTCTGTAAAGATCAGTCAACTGGTAGAGCAAATCATGCAATGAGCAAGTAGGTATATGCATCTGGGCAAAACCGTTTTCCTTACTTTGTTTTCAAAACCATTCTATATTCTGAATGGTCAGTACCTGGGTTGAAGTTACCGGTCAGTGGGCGAGTCTTCAAATCTGAACAACTATTCAGGATTTGTGGGGAGGCTAATTGAGTATTGAGTTACTGACGTCGATAGGGTAATATTCCGATAACGGCTGCACGAACTGTTAAAATTCTTCTGTCCTTAGGGCCAGGCTTTACAGAACTCCTAGGTCATCTTCAATGTACCTGTTTGACTAGATACCTGTTTGACGACCAGGTGCTACATATACTCCTTATTGAAATAACTAGGAAAAATATTAACAAGTTAGACAAACACAAGTCTACTTGATCAGTAATCCAGTTCCAAAACCTGAAATTACCTTATCGTTCTTCTGACTACTACTGTAAGCTCTCTTCTAGGGAGCATCCGCTGCACTTCATCGAAAAAAACGAAGGAATATAAAGAAACTGTTGAAGTTGCAATCATGACAAACCGCTCATTTGTCCGCAATGTGGTCTATTCGAAAGAGGAAAGCATTACCCGTACAAAAATAGACCATCTAACCGAAAAATCACTAGTTGCGTTATCGAATCAATGGGGTAGATTTTTCAACCCCTGTTAAATCGCACTAAATTAAAGTAAGGGCGCGAGTTTTCTATGACTACCATCCGATCGCGAGTGAGTAGCCTGAGGTAGACTAAGCCTGCCTCTGAGCAGAGTAAGCTAGACTGAGGTTCAACGTGTTTTTTTCTAATCAAGTCTTTTAGTCCATTCGAATGGCATTGGAAACTTTCATATCCAATCAAATAATCCCCTACCCAACCGGAGTTCCGTCTTAAATGTGTCCAACCGTGAGAGCTTTGTGTCCTACAAAACAAGAAACATGGTTTAGAGTCAATGCAGAAAGCTGCGTGACCTGATAGCACATTGGACATAGATAGACATTCACAGTCTTTTGTCAACCCGAAGGTTGATGGTGTTGCTGTGAAGTTGCTTATTTCTCCGGCCAAACGAGGGCACGTGTGCGGCGAATTCGTTACTCGCACCCGACTCTTCAACCTTGAAGAATCGATCGTCTCCCGAGCTTAAACGGTCCCAGCTGTTGAGACTTGTCCTCCGGATTCCTGCCGAATTCATACAACGCGGTATTTTCAGAGTTTTCTAAACACAAAGAGATGCTTTTCCTTTAGGAGTGCAAGCTAAAGTGTCCCTATGAACTGCTTTGCGCGATAAATTGGAAATGACCCAGCCACCGAGTGGCAGATGATGAGGATCACGTAGGGGAAAGAACTTGAACTTGCGTCAAATAGGACAACTATCCATTCCAGCAAGAAGATCCCACTGATTCAGTCATTTGTTTGGCTCTATGACCCGTGTTATTCCAT